CTTAGTTTAAATGACATATGTAGAACTCTACATATGGGTGCAAGAGAAACTTCCCTTGTATGTGGAACAGAGTGTCCCCTGTCACATGAGCCGGACAAAGACCGACAACCATGCCTTGTTATTGAATTCTCGGACTGGTGCTACCATAAAACAGTATCACAAACACAACTGACGCTGGCCAACGAAGAATCGATGCATATGCGGAATCCCGACATATGACGAGCAACTGCCCGTATTATTTTGGGCTGTCGAATGCATGCCACCAATTAAGGTTTAAACCAACATGAAACGAACTACCCCGTAGATTTGTAAATTTGGCCGACGCTGCTTGTGTTGTGGCACGTTTATGGGAGCGGTAGCCATAAATCATTGATCGGTGTATACTGGTTAGCTAGACCCGGACCCCTGTCGAAAGACAAGGTCCGTGCTCAGATAACCACATGTTTTTGTTGTCGGCGTCTCACCGTCTCACATGACAGCGGCACCCTGATCCCCATATGGGTAGTGCGCTTTGATTAAGTTACAAATATTGCAGATTCAACTGGACATTACTTCTTTGGTCTTATTTAGACCTGACTTGAAAAATGAAGGAAAAGTTCCAACCACTATCGGAATTAATATTGACTGTTCTAATTATTAGTATACATGTATGAGCAGTGCATTATAACAGAAAAGCCCTAACTGTAAATCATGTGGTACCACCGGTCAGCTATTGTTAAAAACCGCAAAACCCAAGCATATAGAGTCGTACTTTGATTATATACGCCATTTTACTCGAAACAAAGAAATTGAATTAATTTCGTGATTTTTTTTACTGGACTCGAGTACGTAGCAAATGGCAACGCAGTATAATAATTAGTTAGGTGCCATCCTTACCAATTCTGGTATACTCGGAGAGTTCCGCGGGGCCCACTCCCCCGGATTCTTGAGTAACGCCTGAGTTATTCGCCTCCATGTCGACGGCGGTGTCGGTGCCTAGTGCACGCTAATGCAGCGCGGCTCTCAATGCTAGTTATAACTGCAGGACAGGGCCACTCTCTTATTTCTCGACTCAGCAGAACAAGAGCATAGGCTTGTGGCTGTTAGAGTCGACCTGGTGCACAGCTAGATTACAGAGAGTCGTACAACTCTTCGTATCCGATTCTTTCGAACCAAAGTGAAACGCTTGGGGTAGTCAGATTGGGGCACGACTCTGCCACGTAGAACTGGACAATCTCTGAGTACCCGAGCGTATCGCTTGGGGCTGTCAGAGATGTGACCACGATCGTACGCTGCCTCGCGTATTTATATGATTTCCCGTGAGTGAATTCGTTGTCCAAGCCTGCAAGCTAGACGGAGATAGCCAAACGCTACGTTTTGCTTTACTCACGACATTAAATTTACGATGTATTTAGGTGAGAAGTGATATAATGACTCTATGTTCACAGCTTTTGCCTACTCCTAGTAAAAACTCTTACAACCCTACGTGTTTACGTTGGTTTGTTTATGTTATCTCTTCTCGACTGGAGAATGCTTTGAGATTTTGTACAGTTTTGTCAACGTTTTAAAATATGAAATGAATACTGTGTGTTATTTTACCTAGCTGAATAATTTAGACCCTATAGTTTGAATGCATACGTGTTCTGCCAAAATTATAAGAAAATGATTTAACCCTTTTTTATGTAATAGTTAATTTGTAATTTAATGATATAAATGCTTGGGAATAATTTAGTTTTATGTAAAAATTATAGGAAATTTATTCGCGATGAAGCAAACCAGGGCTGGGATGCTTCACTCTCCCCCGCGTGGTTTAATAAATAATTACGCAGTCAATTATTTGATGAGCCACGGACCGCGTGACTGTTCAGATTTAGTGGTACCAATGATTTTACAAATCCTAACTAAGCAAAGCCCTAACCTTATAGCGACCCCCTTTTTTATATTTATTTCAAATTTAGTTTTATAAGAAGCAAGCCAGTTATTTTAAATCTTACCCAGCTAGCAAGCAAGAGATCCTCCAAATTTGTATATTCCAGGGATGAGCTTTAACCTTTCCACCAATTTAGTTTGGATTGCTTTTATGTATATTTATATACAGGGTTTTTATTTGGGCACCACCAGTTTTTTATATTTCAAGAATAGGTAATTAATCAAAAAAACTACATTAAACAAAATACATATCTATTCAATAAAAACTGGAAAAAAATGAATATAAATTCGGTTACAAAACCGAATGCACAGTAATTAAAATCAATGTCCGACAACACGTCAGTGTATTCAAAAAAGAAGACACAGTATTAACTATAATAAAAATTTAGGGTTAATCAAATATTACAGTTAGTCAATAGACAATACTTGGTAACTACTTTGTTACAAAACAAATCAAATAACATAAGACATCAAATGTCAAATGAACATAACTGTAAAAAACAAATACATAAAGCAGCATAAGACATACTTTGTATAATGAACTTAAAGGTACAAAACAAATACATAATGCAAAGTAAGGCATAAAGATAAACTGAACATACGGTATATATTTCGGTACAAATCAAATACATCAGGTAACATAAGACATCATTGTCTGATAAACATACGGTATATACTTAATCAAATACTTAAGGCAACGTAAGATATAATTTGTCACATGAACGTAAAGATACAAAACATAACGGTAAGGCAATATAAGACATCATTGCCTAATAAACATACGGTATATACTTAATCAGATACATAAGGCAAGGTAAGACATAATGTGTCACATAAACGTAAAGATACAAAACTCATATGTAAGGAAACATAAGACAACATTGTTCAATGAACATACAGTATATCAGATAAATCTACAAAGTTTAACTGAAGTTCATGCAATACACGGTATGTATTAATTGTCAGGAAAGGGTTGGCTATATTAAGTTAATCACTTACTTTCGGTAATGGCAAAGGTACTACCTGACTGGATCCAAAAAAAAAAACACCATAACATAACTTGTTCAAAACACCGCATTCCATAAGACAAAATACACCGCGGTAACTAAACGTACTATACCATATTACTTAATATGCCGCCACTAATTATTGTCTTTGGCAGCACTCACATAGGTCCGCTCGCCACCATAGCTCCAGGCGGACTCACTACGTCCACTCGCCACCAACGTTCTAGGCGGACTCCTCATCGATCCTCGATCGACCCGGTTGCTAACTGCTCGCACCCCGCGCACTCCCGTGTTTTTGACCAATCACAGGGCTACAGGTTACGCAAACTTCCTCGGAAACAGACAAGGTCACGCACAAATACAGATTTAAATTTAAATAATGCCATAAAAATACAAGAATCTCTTTTTAACAACATCAGAGATTATATTTATTTTCCCATATTATTCGGCATATGCATTTTTATTGAGTGTTTTCGACTTGCGTCCAATCTTTGAATCTATTCAAATATAGTAATTTAAGATCGCAGGGCCGTATTATAAAATTTTTAAATTAAATAATCATGACATAATGCGACCGCAAGTGGTTTACTCATTACAGATAGGGCTTTTTATTAGGCCAAAAAAGTGGACCGTTACAACCTGCTGTGACAATTGAAAATTAAAAAAAAGAAAAAAAAGGATTTGAATTTATACAAAGAGAAAAAATTAATACTTAATTTAAAACAATAATAGAACCTTACTCTTAACCTGAGTCCTGTCTTCACTCGCGAACCCATTCCCTCCCCCACTGCACTCCCCCGCGATCTGAACGCCTGTTGTTGGTTTGGTGGCTGGACCCATCTCCTGGCTGGTATTTGAGACTTCGACGTTGTTGGTGGAAACTACAACTCACTGGACCCTTAGCTGCTTTCTTTGGATGAGACCTCTGGCTGTCCATTCGACGCTGATTACTGATTATACTCTGTACAGCATAGTTTTGGATGGTCGGATTGTATCGTCGTGCATGGCAAATTTAGCTTGGCCCGTGTTTAGTACCAGGTCTGAGAGCATATCTTTGTTTCTTGTTCGGTGCGCCTATCGCCCCTATTCCAACGGAATCGTCTGTTTTGGCTGGCTTCTGTAACCGACGGTACATTGACAGGTAGCGTCGTTGAAGTGGATGACGGTAAGGGTTACCCTTGTTGTACAAGATTCGGTAGCGCTGGAGATTGATTTATTCTCTTTCAGTTGCCAATGTGACTGTATACATGTTTGCAAGGAATTGTTTAAGTGGATCAGCTACGATGGTGGGTTCAGGTGGCGTGCCAACCCTACGTAGTGTTTGAAAGGACCAGTGATGTGTGGTGATAATGTGGCGGTGGGTATCTGGTAGTTCCTCGGGCCAGCAGCTATCGAAGTGCATTTTCAAACTTTTGAAATTCTCCCATGATATTTTGTGAATAGTCACCCAGTTTGTGCCTCACTGACTAAAGGATTTGTGGGCCGCGTCAAGCTTATTCTCGTCTGGCTGGTTAGTTCTGTTAGAACATGTCTCTAGCTCGTTGCGGTATTTTACAGGGTGCTTGTTTCTCCCCGGGAAATTTTGCATTACTGGACTTGGCGTGACATACACAGAACAGCAATCTCTCGTAGACGTCGGATATATTTGCGACGCCTAGTCTTCGTGTCGGGTGGCGGCGACCTGGCCATCCTGCTGGGAACGGTTTCCTGGAGTCGTGTGTGTCCTCGATGCATGGCTACAAGGCTTCCCCTCAGTTCAGCATGTGCAGCGGCGTTGATCTTTCTGGATCTCATGTAGGCACTCCACCAAGGCGTTCAATCTCGTCTCCATGGATAGTGGCGGCGGCTGGACGGCAGTGTCCATCGCTGGGGCTGGTGGACGGTGAGTTCCGAGAAATATGTTGTGACCTAGTAATAAACATCAGCAGTATCATATTCAAAAATATAAACATAAAACATCAAACTAAAATTTGCTACACAACAAAAATATTCTCATCGATGATGGCTCTATTGACCATCCTTACAAGTTTAAATTTAAATTTTCTCCAGAATTTCACACACATAATAAAAGAAATTGAATAGTAATATCGATATCGGGACTCGAACCCGAGTCTCCTGATTGTAGAGACCAGGTATCCTGACCACTAGAATATATCGAAGATATCCTCCAGAATAAAACTGTTGCCCCCCAGTTATCCCCCATCGTACTTCGACGAAAGTTAGTAACCGGCCAGGTACAGGAATTTATCCTGGAGCCAGCTATATAGTTAATTTTAATTAGAATGAATTGACATCGTTTACAAGGATTGCGTGCTAGCCCTGGAGAAAATAGTATATGCAAATTCTGATTAATATAATAATTAAAGGAGAATATTTCCGGTGTATGCAAATTGAATGAAACAAAAATAATAATACCAATTTACGACTCTATATCCTGGTCACGGCATCAGTGTAACGGCCCAACCCCCTAATGCAGCGTGGCTCCCAATGCTAGTTATAACTGCAAGACAGAGCCACTCTCTTATTTTTCGACTCCGCATAACAAAAGCATAGGCTTGTGGCTGTCAGAGTCGACCTGGTGCACAGCTAGATTACAGAGAGTCGTACAAACTCGTCGTGCCCGATTCTTTCGAACCAAGGCGAAACGCTTGGGGTAGTCAGATGTGGGGCACGACTCTGCCACATATAACTGGATAATCTCTGATTACCCGAAGCTAGACGGAGATAGCCAAACGCTACGTTTTGCTTTACTCACGACATTAAATTTACGATGGATTTAGGTGAGAAGTGATATATATATAATGACTATGTTTACAGCCTTTGCCTATTCCTAGTAAAAACTCTTACAACCCTACGTATTTACGTTGGTTTCTTTATGTTACCTCTTCTCGGCTGGAGAATGCTTTGAGATTTTGTACAGTTTTGTGAACGTTTTAAAATATGAAATGAATACTGTGTGTTCTTTTACCTAGCTGAATAATTTAGACTCTATAGTTTGAATGCATACGTTTTCTGCCAAAATTATAAGAAAATGATTTAACCCTTTTTATGTAATAGTTAATTTGGAATTTAATGATATAAATGCTTGGGAATAATTTAGTTTTATGTAAAAATTATAGAAAATTTATTCGCGATGAAGCAACCCAGGGCTGGGATGCTTCAGAGGTATTGTTTCTTGAGCATCAATATGTAGGTTAGTCATAATCAGGATGGTAGTCACAGCCACGTATATACTCAAAGTTTAGTGCAGAATTTAAACAAAAATAAGTCGAAAATAGTGAAAAAACAATAAAAATAAAAAATTAAGAAGCTTTAAATTTTTTAATTTTTCTGTTGTGACCCTCACTGATTCTCTTAAATCCTTTTTTTTTACTCGCAAATATTTATAAATTGTTAATCGGACGAATTTATCAATAATTGTTTGTTGACAGTTATGCTGATTGCAAATCTGAAAAGAGTTTAAAACAGGAATTCGTAACCTTCCTATGATATCTGAAGCTGTTATAAGCTCAGACATTTACGATGTAATTTTATAATCTAAAATAAACTAGAAACACAAATTTTTAAATGTTAAAAAAATTAGATCAGAAATCGCAGGCAGCAATAATTAAAAAAAAATGTACTATTTTCTAAGAATAATTTTTATGAACAGTAAAAAATTAAATGAGTGCATAAAATATATTGCTTAAGAAATACTTAAAATGTCCACAAAATTTACTAAAAATATATATCTACTATTAAAGACAATATATGACTCGAGACAAATTAATATACCAAGATATGATAGGTACCTACTCTATTAAAAATTAAATGTTGCTAGTTCTTGTTGATTTTGAAACATTAAAATTTTGCTATTACATACCGATCGTAGAATTACCTCTTTTCATGGCTTCCTCTAAAATCGATTCACTCCATTATCACTTTAGCCTGTATCATACGTCCTAAAACAACATTAATATATACTTATAGAGTTATAGTAAATATTGTATTTTAAGGTCTAAAATCACTGCAAGGCAACCATCTTTTATGGAATTGAAATTAGTGCAGGTGTCAGACTGTGCTATACCATTCAAGCATACTTAAACAAAATAATAAAAAGGTTAAGCACTTAATTTGACAACTACAAAATAATCCCATTTGCTTACATGCTTCCTGATAAACAATAGAATCTCTCATAGTTATTGACCGATACAGTTATCCGCAGTTGATTCTGTATGTCGATAAATTATGTGGAGAAGTGGGTATTTTCATTATAGTTGTTTATATTATAAAGACGGCATGAAAATATTTTTTATTTAAAAACTGAGATAAAATTACGTTATGAAAAAATCAATACCTACATAATGAGAATATTTCTTGATCAAATCAGGATAGTCACTTTACCCAGTGTGGCAAATATAATACACACAAATCTGTGTTAATTTGTCTGTATAATAATATAAAAATAAATATAAATCAAACATAAGTATGTAGTTATAATAGTGAAGCGACTAGTTTTACATGATATATATATATATATATATATATATATATATATATATATATATATATATATATATATATATATATATATATATATATATATATATATATATAGTGGCGGCTCGTGGTTAATTTTATAGGGGGGCACACATTTGACATTTTGAAATTGTATATTAAAATTAACTTACCAGAGAACCATTCACATATTTGTATGACATCAGATGACGGATAAATAAGACCACCGCGGTCTTTTACAAATATTAGTTCATGGAAATTTTCCCTGTTTATTGAAAATAAAGCGTTTATACATTCTTCACATTTTAACGATTTTAAAATTGATTTTACCACAAAGCCACTATACACCATAATATATTCGTTGTACTCCGACAACTCCAAAGAAAAATTAAAGTTATATTCAGTTTCAGATATATCATGGGCTCTAAATTTATTGCAAGTTAAATTTATTTTGTCTATTGCAGAACTACAATTTAAAATAGAAATATTTTCCAAAGGAATGCAATTTCCAGAGAATGTTTCTTTAATTTGCATATGAATCAACAATTTTTTATATGCAGATTTAAATTGGCGGCTAGTTGGATTATTATTCCATCCCCCATGCTGTCTGATATTACAGAAAAAAAGAGAGACTATTTAAAATAAGTTACTTTACACATAAGATTAAATATTCTTCCTAATAAAATATTAAGTATTTTAATTTTTATTATGTAGTAAAATATAATAAAATCCGTATGAAAATATTCGAGGTATTTTTTTTAAATCAAATGTATTATAATAACATGCATAAAAATAAATATAATAAAATTCGTATAGGTAAAAAAAAATGGCATTAAAATACCATTTTATACAAATGTCGACTTAGTTTTATGTTTGTAAACCACCGAGTTGTAAACTAAATAATTTGACACAATTTACTACTCCAGTCCTGCAAACATGCTGGAGCGCAGGTACACATGGCGTAGGCAGATTGCTTAAAATTTAAATTAAATAACAAATAACTCGTAATTACTACTTACTGAAAAAAGGAAAAATTTTCATTTACACTGGTACCGGTGTCACTTCGGTTAGGACACACTTCAACAACACATTTACCCTTTATTATATACAATTATCTCATTAACAATAGATCTTTACAGCTCGATTGCATAAATCATATTGATCGCCATGCGACTGCTAGGCACCGGCCAGGCTCCGCGGTGGCTTCATGCCTTAGTTCCTTGCAACAAGTCTATGTGGTCTGTGGGTGTACACAAGTGAACTGTGCCCGCATTAGAGCATAAGGGGGGGGTCGTTGCCATAGCAATGCCGTAAACAAAATCTAACCTGATGCAGAAACATGACGCGGTCTCCGTACACAACTCATTTTGTGCCCTTTGGGAAGTAGATATTGGCAAACTCAAGTTGTAACGCAGCGATAGCGTCGGAAATTAGTTTTGGGGTTTATTATGTTGATAAAAATGTTAAAATGGATAAAAATAAATAGAAATTAGAAATTGACTAATTAACTAGCTAAGCTGAATTTGCTTTGGGGGGCACGTGCTCCTGTGCCCCTTAGGAGCAGCCGCCACTGTATATATATATATATATATATATATATATATATATATATATATATATATATATATATATATATATATATATATATATATATATATATATACTAATGGATAAATGTAACTTTGCAACTAGTCACAGGCGAGTTTGTATAAAATATACATTTTAACATAATATATTAATAGAGATACTACGGATCAATTTTAGGAATATTAAAACATATTATTTCATCTACATATGTAAATTAAGTTAAATTGAATATTTTATTTATTATGTAAATACATGCAATTTCTTCGTTAAACAAATTATCACATAGTTTCATGTATAAGAAATATTACAACTGTACTAAGTACTGATAAAGGACAACTAAGTACTGATAAAATACAAATCCAGAATTTATAGAACATTGAAAACTTTACCGGCCCTGTCATCGAAAGGTTACTGACTTTCATGACCTAAAATATTTAAAAGACAATTTCGATTAGAATTCACCATATAAATAAGGAAATTATTTAAGTCAGCGACTACAGTGTATCTTAATCACTGATTTTCCAAAAAATTAATAATAATATAACCAAGTCTAAAATTAAAACCTATTGGACGAACTGAAGGTTTTGTGAAATTTAAGACTTCTTTATATTTCATAAATAAAACATCAATAGGTACTATAAAAACATTTTTTTCTTACAATATAATAAACACTTTATTTAGTGTAAACTGAGTTTATATAAAGATAAAATTTCACAAATATTTCAAACAAATCTCTTTAAAGTGGCTTCTGAATAAACTGTCAAATGTCTAATTTAATTAATATTATTTTGTGATTGGTAGTGTTATCACATGATCGCCACCTCGCCTGTGATTGGTGCTTGACATCTGCTGGATTTTTGCCACCGAATTTAGAATTCCGGATAGGTGTTAAAATTTGATGCACCTAGTAACTTTTGTACCAAATATTTTGAGGTTGGCACCATCGTTGCCATCTAGTGTTAACATGTGGTTAATAAAGTTAGTTCGTTAACAACCTTCGAAGAGAAAACAGCGTTTTAACAGGTTATGGGCCCAGACGTGGACACGTGGGTACCTAAGTTAAATAGAGATACAC